ATTATACCTGAAACTTCAGTGTCGTGTTGACCTAATGAGAAGCTGCACCACAGAGCAATGAACAGCCACGCTCTCTGCTACTGCAAAGCACCGGACAAGAAGCAGTGGAGACCTTTATGCTCCATGCCTGTGGTCCCATCCCTTTTGTTGTGTCTATTGCTTTACGTGTGGAATGAAAAGCAGTGGTGAAATTGTTGCTAATCTTACATTTTCTTTAGATGTTAAGTACGTTGGAAATCTTGAAGGATAAATGGGACTGCTGCAACGGAAGCTTGGAGACAAGAGCATGTGCTGTCTCTGCAATGAGTGGTTTAATCTCCCTATTGTCTGAAAAACTAAATCATACTGGAAAACAAGCTTCTCCACATTTGTCCTCCTTGCTGCAGGAAATAAACATTACATGCAGTTTATGTAGTGCTTTTCCTTATGCAAAAGAATCCTGAAGTAGTTGTAAGTAGGATGCACTGGAAGCATTGGCCCCAGCACCATAATGCAGCCACCTCTGCAGTGAAATAAAATAGCTGTTCTGAAGCCATGGCACTGCGTGCATATTCAGGAATGAAAATGAGAAAGTTTGGGAAATTATAAGTATTCAGGTCATGGGTGAAATATGAGTTGAAACCAGGCCTGAAATTTGGTTAGGAAACCAGAATTTTCATAACCCTTTATAATGAGAAAATTTACTGGATTTTTAATGAGCAGAAGCAGACAGAAGCCTGCAAATGCTGCCTACTAAAATGGCGTCTGCTGTAGCAGCGTGTCCTAGCACAATGTCTGGGCAGTGGCCCAGCACCGACCGGGAGAGGAGAGCCATCGTGCCTCTCTGGGTAGTCTGCAGGCACTGGCAAGGCTCGGCTCACCTGGCTTTATTGGATGTAACAAAATTACAGGCGAAACAGCAGAGACACATGGTCCTTGCCGATTATGTGCGCAGAGGATCCTCGTTCTGTTTTAGCCTAAGGGGCGATGACTAAATTCTGTTCATATTGATAGTATTTTAGTTATATATTTGCTGGGAAATAATCAAAAGGCTATGATCGCTTTGGTTGCATCTATAATGGCTAAATTTTACATCCACAGAGGGTGGGAGTTTGACACCAGTGCGAGATGGTCCATGTACGCCGAGGCTGCGGTCCGTCAGCTCTTACGGGAACATCCGAGCCGTTTCCACAGCTAGGAACCTGAACAAGTCCTTGCAGAACCTCAGCCTGAATGAAGAATGTGAGGGACATTTCAAAATTCTTTCATTTTTCTCTGCCACCTCTTTCCCCCCCTTCCTCCTGCAAGCTAGGAAATACCACGTGCAAAACCACATGAGCTGAAGCTAACATTTTAGCCCAGGTTATCCAACTGCCAGCTCCAAGGGCTTAGATGAGAAGCCCTCTCATAATTAGTTTCAATTTTCTAGTCACTAGTATTGATTTTTCTGAGTGTCTGGGGATGAAAAAGGTGCCTTCCAACTTCGTAACATACATGGATTTTTAACTGAATAATTTCTGACCCCTTGATGCTTAACTCTGTATTTAAACATTCAGTGTTTAAAAGGGAATGCTGTGGATTTGCCTACACCTTCATTGAGCATTGTAGGGTTTAGAAGAGGGCTGTTATGCCTTGGTAAGAATTGTTCTCTCACCAGTTCTTGTTTCAGCATCTGTCCCCTTTTCTTTTGGCAGCTGGAAGCTCTGTTGCGTTTTCTCCTGGGAATCTCAGCACCAGCAGCAGCGCCAGCAGCACCTTGGGCAGCCCTGAGAATGAAGAGTATATCCTGTCGTTTGAGACTATTGACAAGATGAGGCGAGTCAGCTCTTACTCTTCTCTGAATTCACTAATAGGTGAGTAAAGACTCTCCTACCCTTGCTTTGGCGTCGCCTTTCTTCACGTGCTTGCGCTAGCTTTTGCGGAAAGTTTGGATCTTGGCTCCTGCTAGATCTTAATCCACCAAAATTTCTCATAACACTAGAAAGTACTTTTGCATTTGGTTAGGCTACAGGCAGAGCAGAGTCCCTCCTGCTCTGATGGAGGGACTGGAAATGAGAGCTGTTGGCTCCAGCTGTACGTTTCACTGCGATGGACAGCAGTCCTGTTGGAATTCGAGCCCAAAAATGTAGCGTGTACAGGAATTTTGCATCCACTGCAGTTTCATTGGCTAGAGAATGAAAACGAGGACTCCCCATCCCGTGGACGTAGCAGCTGGGCACGCTGGCACTAACTGCTTCCCCTGGTTATTTTTCACGTGGCTTGTATTTCTCTGCAGCACAGCCACTTTATTGCGTTACTCATCCGAGGAAGCCTTAGCTAGCTAATTTCCTATGCAGGTTTATATGTGCATTGTTGAAATAGGACGTAAAAAAGAAGAAATCCCAGGCTGTGTCTTAAAAGAAAAAACCTGAGTATTTCATAGAAATCTGCTTTTGTGCAAAAAGTTCCATGGCTGATCCCGCTGCCTCCAATCCCCTCTCCGTCATTTCCTCCTGGATAAGCAGCTGTGACATCAGTTACAGCACTGAACTTTTTAACACTGCTCAACCGTCCCTTTCTCTCACAGCGTCTGACTCTCTGGGTAATGCACAGAACTCTGCAGAGCAAAGCGCGATAGCACAGAAGGAAAGGAAATTTTACTTGTATTTATGCAGTGCATGGCTGATTTGCGTGTAATGGATTATTTGCATTTCTTTTACAGAACAAAACTGGAATGTTTATATTAAGCTTGGTTGTTTTTCAGATAACTTTCCCAGTCATGTCTGATTGCTGCAACAGCATTGCTTTAAACTAGCTGTAGTTTTTCAAACCATTTTGGGAAGATAACACAGACAACATGCAGAAGGACCTGGCTTTTGGAACGGCCTCCTTCCAGGGAGCAGGGGAGGTGTTACGCAGCAGAGAAATGCTGGGGGAAGTCTGTGTATTTTCTTTGAAATCAGTAAATGTGCCCATATTTTCCTAGCCTTCAAAAACCAGTGCCAAAAGAGTGGTATAACTCAGCGAGGAGTCCGCCTGGGTGATAGACTTGTCTTGACTGAAGAAACTTTTTGCTCTACTCTGTAGAGCACCTGGAAAAAGTAATGGTGATTTGGCTCTCCTGAGTTGAAACGTTCTGGGATTGTAATTCTTGAGCCCCTGTGGCAGTGTAAAACCATGTGTTCATTAGAAACTTGATAAATTCATTTGCTTTTGGTTGTAGGTAATGAAATTGGATCTTCTAAAGCATGATAGGAACGTTAGGAAATTTCTCTCCGTCTTAAGCTAGAACTTGTGTGTTCCTCGTTTCCACTGGTGCAGACTGGTGTCTGCTTGATGGCTTCTGCGTGTCTCACAAGAGCTTTACAGCACCGTTGGAAAAGAATCTAGGGATGAGCTGGAGATGAGTGAGGGAGACCTAGGAAAACAAAAAGAGCAGTTCTCCAAAGCCTCCCTCATTCCTATTCAATCGGAAGCGCTC